TTTAAGTCAGCATGTATATAACAGGGGTTCAATTTTGCAGCATTTGGTCTACTTCGTGGATTTGGATTAATGCTCCTAAATTTCTTTGGTAATTAACACACCCTCAACTGTGAAACCCATTTTTGACCTCTTTTTTTCTCACACTCCTACTTCGACTATTCTGTTATTAGCCTTTTTAATTATGTTAATTGTTTCTTGATGTACTTAGGAATCAAACAAATTTATGATTTGAAGTTGATGCATCTTTATGCTGTTGAGATTCTTCAATGTATGTGTAACCATTTATCAACTTTAAAAGAGCAACATCGTGTTGATTGTGGAGTGATTGAAGCAATCTTTGAAGCTTCCAAGCAGGGTATGGTTGAATTTGTCATTGAGCTATTGAAAATCAACCAACCACTCATTTACAATAATAAAGATGGCAGAAACGTTTTCATGGTTGCAATCCAATATCGTCAAGAAAACATTTTCAACCTCTTTTATGGCATTCATGAGGCATGGAAGACGTTAATTCTTAATCGCAAAGATGTGAAAGGGAACAACACGTTACATGTGGCAGGGGAGATAGCTCCTCACTTTCAACTTGCTCGAATCACCAGCCCAGCATTGCAGATGCAAAGAGAGCTACAATGGTTTAAGGTTATCACCTCACTTGCTCACTCAACATAGCATTTTAAAATTATTATTAATTAACAAGTAATAGCTAGGATAATTATTCTAATTCTCCTTTTTACGTGAAGTGGGATTCGATACTGAAAGTTTAGAAATAGCATGTGTAACTTATTTATTTGTTTCAAAAAGTGAAACCTAATTTGTTATCTTAAACGTTAATATGTAGTTTTGTGAACCAAATGCAGGAAGTGGAAAGAATTGTTCCAGAATGGTGCAAAGAAGCTAAAAATTTTCGTGATGGTGAAAAACCTCCGAAAACCCCTTATGAAGTATTTTCCGAAAGCCACAAGGAATTGGTGCAAGAGGGAGGGAAATGGATGAAAGAAACTGCAAGTTCGTTTATTATTGTTGGTACTCTAATTGTTACGATTATGTTTGCAGCGGCTTTTACTGTCCCAGGTGGCAATGATCAAAATTCTGGGTTTCCCATATTTTTGCGGAAGAGATCATTTATGATATTTATAATATCTGACGCAATTTCCTTTTTTGCTGCATCGACGTCAGTCTTAATGTTTTTGGGAATTCTAACATCCCGCTTTGCTCAGGAAGATTTTCTTGTGTCCTTACCAAAGAAGTTGATGATCGGCCTTTCCACTCTATTTATTTCTATTGCAGCCATGATGATTAGCTTTTGTGCAGCGCTTTTGATAATGCTACATGATCGACAATGGGCAATAATTCCCATAATTTTGATGGCTAGCATTCCAGTTACGCTTTTTGTATGGTTGCAGTATCCTCTACTTGTTGAAATTTTTGTTTCAACATATACTTCGAAAATCTTTGATAGAAAAATGAAGCCTTGGCTGTAGTGGAGAGCAAGTTGATTGATATTTTGCAAGTGACAATCTCTCCCGCTAACTTGAAATTCCTTAGCTTGTTCTTTGGTTTGGTTGTTGGAACTCCAAATTTCTGTGTTTTATTTGGTTGTATCATCAGAGATTTCTTGCTTTTTATGAGACTCTGAGGTCTATGTGCCTTCCCTTTGTGTAAAACAATATTAGTCATGTTTGGTATATTTTCAGATTTCTTTATTTTCTTCCTATTATATACATGGTTGATGTCTTGAAAATGAAAAAATGGGAGCTCATTGAAGATGATTCTGCATTACAAAAGACAACCCAATCGAAATGATATGATAATGAGATGAAAAGAAACAAATTACATGTTCTTGTTATATCTAGAATACTTCTAGATAAACAGTGTAATGAAACAACCATTTATCATGAGAATACCAATGGAAAATAGCCTCTACCAATTTTTTACTTATCTATATTTCTGCCACAATACATGAGTTGATACCCTAAAAATTCATCTTTGGGTTTGAAACACACCTTGTGACTGATCGCATGGTCACAAACTCCTCTGCTGCTGAAGGATGAATTTCAACCTGGTGGAGATTGGTGAAAAGACAAGCTCAGAGATACAGGTTGCAACAGGCCATAAGAATGGATTATATTCTTGAATGTTGAAGAATTCACATCAAAAGTGTCACTTACCTCCGAAGAAATATTCAACTTACCATGCTGTCAAATTGGGTCTTAGTCGCTCCACATTCAAGTGCAATGGCAGCGTTTTTGCTTTCCATCAGTGATATTTGATGCCTGAAGTTCGTGTTAAAGAACTTGAACTTTCTGCTTGTTTGATCAGCTTGTTTACGATGTATTAAAGCCTCTGTGTTTGATCCTTAGGTGGCAGCTCCCCTGGATACATTTTTTTCAATCAGCCTGTTTACAATGTATTTCATATGTGTAGGCTGTTTACCCAAAAAAAAAAAAAAAA